AAATGAACTTTGTGGTGAAGCACATGGTATCAGGCAGAGATGTTAAATTTCAGTGTAGAGATAGCCTGCGGTCATGCATTCCTGGACACCTGAGTTTTGTTTTGTTTTTTTTAATTTTTTAAATGTTTTTATTTATTTCTGAGAGAGAGAGAGGGAGAGAGAGAGAGAGAGAGAGGGAGAGAGAGAGAGAGAGAGCTTGAGCAGGGGAGGGTCAGAGAGAGAAGGAGATACAGAATCTGAAACAGGCTCCAGGTTCTGAGCTAGCTGTCAGCACAGAGCTGGACGCAGGGCTCGAACCCATGAACCACAAAATCATGACCTGAGCCAAAGTCGGACACTCAACCGACTGAGCCACTTAGGTGTCCCTGGACACCTGAGTTTTAGTCCCAATCTCTTTGTGATCTTGAGCAAGTCACCACTTCCCTGATTCTCTATTTCTTTTCCTGGTCTCTAAGTGAGACGATTGGATTAGATGACCCTTATCCCACTTTAATATGGGCTCTTTCTATTAGCTGACGTCCACTGTTCAATCTCTGATTCAAATAGCAAAGGTCAAGTTAGAAACCCAGGAAATACCTCAAAAGACAAAGTGATGCACCAGAATTAAAAACTTTTTAAATAAAGGATAAGAGTAGGGGAAATAAACTGTAACTTTCAACAGAGAAGTCTACCCTCAATTTTAAATGGATTTCTCTAAGTGTATTTCTAATGCCTGACTAGAATTCAATGACTGAATGCACTGAATTACTAGCACTCTCTATACAATTGACTGAAAAGCTTTTTTAAGACAGTCCTTCAAATGAGACATAAGGCATTTTCAGTGAATAATAATTTTAGCTGTAAATAATGTGTATGGAAAAATAATTTTAAAGGTAGAAAACTAACAGGTGAAAGGATGCATTTTATCACAATAGAAATAATCCTTTTGCATTACTAATGCTTAAGACAGATTTAAACACAAGTAATGCTGAATGGCCATAAGACATTATGTATTCTTTCATTTTCTTCTGAAGTCAGGACACTATTAATAATAAATGATAAGAGCCAACAATTATCGAGGGGACAGGCACTTCTAAGAACATTACACGTATTCTCCTATTTAGTGGTCATGATACTCATACCAGGTAAGTACTTTGATTAATCCCCTTTTTACAGAAGTATAAACTGAAGTTCAGGGTTGTTGAATAATGTTTTAGGTCACTCAGTTATTAAATAGTACATTCAGGAGTCGAAACCCACATGGTTTGTGCTTAGAACCTGTATCTTAACGACTATGTCGTATTGCCTTTTTTTCTTATTTTAAACCCCAAACACTTCTATTCAACAAGTATCCATCATGGACCAGGCACTCTATGAAATGCTAGGGATACAGCAGCAAGATCTACATGGACACAACAGCCTGCTTTCATGGAGCTTATATGTTAATGGAGAAAACAAACAGATAAACACGTAAAATACTGGTATGACCGCTGGCAATAAGTGCTCTGTAAAGAACAAAATCAGCATTGGAAGATCAAAAGGACAGGAGCAGAACAGGGAAAACTTTTAAATAGGTTTAAATAATATTGCCCCTAGGCAGAAAGAAGGACAGCCTTTGTGAAGACAATATTGTCCGTGAAAAACATAACGTTGACCAAACATTCTTTGGTAAATCTGGTCATCTTAGGCCAAATCTGGTCATCTTTGGCCAAAATTCGTTGTCTCGCCTGTTAAGTACTTGCCTAGGCGCCTCATCAGTCTAAATGCAAGATAAAAAAAAATAATCCTTAGCAATTCCACATTTGTAATTGTCTGGATTACTGCAACACCATGTCCTGGACTGTTTAAAGGCAAAATGAATTTGTTCCTAATGCATTTTTATCCCTGTGGTAAATATGTTCTCATCTAAAAACACCACGGATTTTGTAAGGATCCTTCCTTGGCTTCCTCACCCCAAAGCTCTCCATGGAGGTAACTAAATTCTCCTACCCATGATGTGTAATAGGCCTTCAAGACAAAACAAAGGGGAAAACGATGCACGAGTCCTTGTCTGGGACTGAGATTTCTCTTCCCTTTACTCCCCTGGCTTTGTCTCTCAATGAGGAAAGCAGGAACACTTAGAATTCGACCAGAAAAGGGACCAAGAATCTGTGTTCTGACCAAGGGAGCTGCTGCTTTTGTTTAAAGCACAAAATGGAGAGGCAAAATCACTGCTGTGTGTTTTTCATTGAGAAATTTGCAAGGGGGCATAACGAGGAGCTGTTCTCCCTAGAGAAGCAGTCTCCACACACCTCAGTTCCTCCACCCTAGACCTGCCCATGACTGTGATGACAAAGACTTTCCAAAGGGAACTTCTTTTATACCTGGGCAGAAAGGACTCCGTCCCCTGTATCCCTCCCAAGGGAAATCTGGTTCTACTATTAGATGATCTATAGGGAGAGGCTCACATGAGTGGGCAGACAATATCTGTAGGTGGAAACGCGTCACGCCGTGTTGTTTTTACTGTTTTTGAAAAGGGATCATCATAGGAAATGCATATCTTTCAAACCAGTTATAAAAATCTTGCAGATTTTGTGTTAAAAAAAAAAAAAACCTTCCAAGATAAAATTCTATGTAGCATATATAGGACTGCTTGGACATTTACCAACATATTAACAATAAGGTCTCTGTGTGATTAAATTATTTATGATTTTTATTATATTTTCTTTTGTATCACTTTTTATTACTTAGTATACAGTACTTTTATCATCCAAAAAAGGACTGTTAATATCTTTTAGATCTGTTTTCACAGAAAGCTTCAAGTGTATTTATAATGTTCTATTTTTCAAATGAAGCAAATATGTCAAAATCCTAAGATCTGATAAGGAAGTCAGTCTATATTTTCTATATGTTTGTAACATTTTACAATGAATTTTAACTTAGTTTTCTCAGTCTTGGAGAACATAAGACATGGAAAATATTATGAAAATATTAAGTTTCCCTTCCTTGAATATCCATTTCAGATCCAAATTTGATTTCTAAAGTTCACTTTTTTTTCCTTTAAGGAAAATCTACCAAGTAAATTAAAACCTGAGTCAGCATTAGTCTTTAATAAACATAACACAAATGATAGCAATGAGCTTGCATTTTTTTTCTTTAGCCAGGAAAACCTGTTTACTGACCTCCTGGTGTTACAAAGAGGGAAAGCTGGGGCATCCCTGGTGTTTTTTCCTGGCAGGAAAATGTTATCATTTTAACAATTGGCAAGCTGAAGGTTTTGACTCTAAAAAAAAAAAAAAAAAAAAACCTTAAAGGCATAGTCATTATAGTTTCATTTCACTTTGCATCGAGTTTCCTGTATCCTGTGTGTGTGTGTGTGTGTGGGTGGGTGGGTGGGTGGGTGTGGGTGTGGGTGTGATTTTTTTGGGTTGTTTTTCCCCTGAAGTGAAAATACTGATATATGTACATTTGGATTATCTTTCTGGGAAGCTTATACTGTTTTAGAAAAATATTTAGGGGAATAAAGATTCAAGACATTATGCATTAGAGATATGAAATCCAAAAATGTAATATGCTCATTATTACATTATCAGTACTATTTAAGGACATATTGTCTTTAATTCTATTCATATCATCTATAAAATTGAGTTTTTTAAATAGTTAATGATTTTCATTTTACACTGATTCCTTTTTCAAAAGAATAGTTTGTCTCCTGTTGGGTCTGAGTACTAACCATCGTGATGTCAGGGTAAAGATGATTTTCAAAACATCTATTCCTAATCTTTTGCACTTTTTTTTTTGACATTTTGAAGAATTGCTCAAAAATTCTGGTCCAAGGATTGTTCAACCTAAAATAAATTTCCAAGAATTCTTTCCAAGGCTCTGGAGAAGACTGAAAAATCTTAGGCAGGAAGTCACCGGTGGTGAATGGGATTGGAGGTGACGAAAGCCACTAGAAGAGGCATGGGAGACTTTACTGAGAAATGAGAAGGGACCAGTTTACAAAAGCAAAGAAGAGATCGAGGCTAGAGAGGTGCCCAGTGCAAGATTTCTTCCCCAGAACATTTGACTTTGGAGGGGAATGAGAAAGGTGAAGTCATAGAGGTCAGAAGAGAGACCTCAAGTCTTCATATGGGGTCTCTATGAGGTAATACTTGAAAACGTACTTTTTTTAGAGTGTATGCGTTATTTGTCCGATTCAGTTTTCCAATTCAGACTCAGGGAGCACTTGGTTTTATTTATCTTAATATACACAAGGAAGCAAACAAAGCTGCCTCTCACCCTCCAGGGGCCAGGCAGTGCTCCTTGACATCCCTATCCTTATCAGTCCGTATGCCCCATATTTTGGGGTGTCTCTGCAGGTGACCCCTACGGCATTCCTGGAGCAGGCGCTAGGAGCTCGACCTCAGTCCCCGCCGCACTGCTGGAGGTCGCGGGACCCAGCTGAGCCCCCTCCCCACCCCTGCCCCTATTCACCAGAGCTCATTAACAGGGGGACTCGCACGCCCCTGAGCCTGAAATCCCTCCTGCCTCCATAGAAACAAATCCTTCAGACCCAGAGCACCTTCCGGGCGGGCTCGGTGGCCCGGGCGTTCGACGCGCCCAGCCAGGAGGTCAGCACCACAGGGAGCCCGGGCACCCGAGGGACGCCCTGCCGAGAGCGCAGCACGTGACGCCCTCCAACACGCTCGCCTTTGTGCACCCAGAGCCTCAGTCCGGCGCGGTCACTCCCTGACTGGCCTCAGCTCCCACCAGGCCTTAAGGCACGTCGACCATTTGTTGAAAAGTTGGCTCAGCCGGGGCAGAGAGGAAGCGGCAACTAGCGCCCGGAGTGGAGATCCCAAAGCCTCTTGGGTGCCTAATTCTGGAACCAGGCACCCTCAGTTCCAGCCCCGAGAGATGGGATGCCAGCGGGCCAGGGGACTTCGCCCAAGAGTTCCAATACCCGAGGGGCTGTGTTCCCTGCCCCCCAGCCTCTGATGCCCCTTCTGAGGGCACAAGCCCCAAAACCCCCAGTCCCGGGGGCGGGGCGCGTTCGTTACCTGTTGGCTGCCAGCCGAGACGCGATGTAGCCGCCCGGAATCTGGGTGATGATGTAGCCCCAAAAGAAGGAACCGTGAATCATCCCCACGGTTTCTGGGTCCCAGTTGAATTTGGCTTTCTATGCGGGTAGGGGGGGAAACGGGGTGAAGGGAAAGAAGAGAGTCAGTGTTTGGGCTGCAAACTCACCCTCAGGAGCCCTCAATCCCCGGGGTACTCCCTGCATTCTGGGGGTGGAGGTGGCTGAATTTTCGTTTTCTAACAAAATTGAATCTATACCTTCATATAGAGAAGAAATGCTTCTTTCAACTAAAAAACCGTGCTCATTTAAAATGTATTGCAATTAACGGCGAAGCTGGGCGCCCTGGCCGAAGCTTTGCTCTGCAGCTAATGTCAGCCAGATCTGATCACCTTGATGAAGGAGGAGTCCTCGGAGCTTCAGTTTTGAACATTAGAACTCTCCAGGGAGAGATTGCATTTGCTGGCTGGAGACAGAGACCCCCGACGGGGTTCCGTTTCGCCCACGCCAGCCATTGCTAAAGCAGTAGTGAAGTCTCTTCCAGAATGAAATCCAACCAGGGAAATTCTGAGGAAGGAAGGTGAGGGATTTGGGATGGAAGGTGAGGAGGTCGGAGGAGCTAGGGGAAAGGATCCTCCAGGCAAAATGGGGATGGGCGTGGCCGGGAAAGATTTGGAGTATCCTAGGGAATTGGTGGGGGTGGTCAGTGGAGAGGAGAATTTCCTCAGGGTTGGTGGGAAAAGCTGGCGAGGGGTGTGTCTGAAGGTCAAGGCCTAACTCCGCCCTCACCAGGCTGGGTGAAACATAAAGTCAGTATCTGCATCAGAAAGGCGGAGGATCGATTATCCCTCCCGAGGAACTGAGGATCCCTTTTCTCTCTTTGAGTAGTGTTTTGAAACTAAATGTGCTTTGCAGGGTCTCTGGGAAATGCCGGGGACCAGCGGCGCTTACAGCTTCGCATCCACAGTGAGTTCCCGAATTTCTCCCCCCAACCTTGGCTAATGGTCGCTCAGATCGCTGAACTGGAATTCTAGACCCACGGGTTTCAGTGATTTTGACATTGACCTTCCTCTCCCTAGGTGTCACCCCAACACATCCATCAGGAGATTACGGGACTGGATGCCCGGTGACCTCAAAGCACTCCTAGCGGCGGCTTTTCTCTGCACCAGTTAGGCGGACAGCTCCGAAAGACCCTTCGGTGGAAACTGCCGAAATGCTCACAGTTGCTTTCATTTCGGTTTTTGTTTCATTTTTATTATTCAGACTGTTTGGTAAGAATTGGAGGAGATCAGGGGGATATTATCACTGATATGCTGCCTTACTCCTTCCTCCGAGTGAAAGAAAAATATTTCGATTTAAATTTAGCGTATATTATTAAGCATCAGCTTCTGGTCTGGAGTCACCCTTGACAAAAATCTAGTGAGTGGATGCTCTTTTCCACTTTGCAGGTGAGGAAAGGAAGGCCCAGAAAGCCGGAAGCGAAAAGGGAGACCCTGCGGCTGTCGCGGTCTATTCCTATTCTAGAAAGGCAGTGCTAGCAGGGGCTGGCGAGCATGCAGGCTTCCCTCTGTCACCGGGGGAGTGGAGCTCCAACAGGTGAGGCGGCCTCGCGAACGCACACGGCCAGCGGCTGCCCACCTCCTTGATGACTTTGCCCCCTCGGTGGATGGTGCTGTTGTTGACCATGTCCACGATGGCCACGCCCAGGTTGCAGCGGATGCCGAAGGAGATGCAGAAGCCCAGGCCGCTCATGATGGCGATGATGTAGCGGCGCGGCAGGCCGAAGCAGGTGCAGTCGCACAGTGGAGCCTTTTTCTCGGGCACCTCCAGGGGCTTCCCATCCTCCGTCAGCTCGATGGTCTCCCCCGTGTCTTGCTTCTTCTCCAGCACCCTGCGCGGAAGAGCGGGGGAAAGGCAAGGACGCGACGGGTCAGGCACCTCCGACGCCGGCCCATCCCAGTTCCCGGGGCCTGTCAGGGCTGGGGGTCGGGGAAGCTGCCTCGCACGACTCCTTCAGGTGCTAGGACGCCACCCGGCCTCTGGACCTCCCTGGCTCCCCCCTCCCTGCCGCAGCATCTCTTCAACTTTAATAGCGCCTGGCCCTGGCCAGTGGCACCCAACCCGCATTTCCTCGGGATCCATCCCGCAGCGCTTAGACTAACAGACACAGGCAGTTGGGGCCTAACTTTCTCCGGGGATCGGTAGTTTGTGAGGGAAGGAATGGGCTCCTGGAGCGGCGCCTGGTCAGCAACTGTACTGACTTCCACCTGCAGTGCTTTGCCCCCGGCGATGGGCGATTTTATCCAGCCACCAGCTTCCTGAGGGCTGGTCCACTGCGGGCCAGCCCAGCTGAGCCCTGCCCCCGCGCTACCCCTTCCCTCCCAGCTTAAGTTGAAGCTTTCTCGGTTACAGACACGCGATGCTGCCTCGTAGCTGAGCGCGGGGACCCCCAGGGACGAAGGCCGCTCCTGCCCGATGCCCACGCGGAGAAGATCTTGTGAACGCTCTCTGAGAGTGTCACGCACGCATTCTATTGCCCATTCTTCCAGTCCCAGGGATCAACGTTTACTCTCCCGTTACACATCTGACTTTCTTTTCCTTGTTACTCGAGTTTAAAACAAAGGCCTCCGCAGCATATGGCCGACACCTAAGCTTCCTACTGCCAGAACATGAATAATTAATTATTCACAATCTTGCGTCATTACTATCTCGATTACAAACACCGAAAACTGTCATGGGTGCATTTCCAAAGACGTAAAATGCGACTTCCAGATACACAGACGTGCCCCAAATCAACGCTGGTAAGATGTCCCACACCACAGTAGATCTCAAATTTATGCTTTGTTTTGTGTGTGTGTGTGTTTTAATTTGCATAGTATTTCACAAGATTTCACACGTATAATTCAATTCCTTTTCGGTTTTCGTCCTTGAGGGGAGGGGGAAGGGAGGGGAAAGCGGAGTGATGGAATGGTTTTACTAAAAGCTGAGGGTATTGTTCTAATCCACAATATATCCATGAAATGTCTATTTTTTTTTAAAAAAAGGAGAGAATTAATGTGAACAGTACAATCACCGTGGATTCTTGAGATGAATACTTTTGGTATTTAAACAAAGAACCTCTCCGTTTACAGTTTGCAGATTTTTTTCAATCCACCATATAGTTTATTTTTCTGTGTGCCCTTTTAAATGATATGCTCACACACATTTTTTTTTCATACATGGGAGTAAAGTAAATGAAATTTTAAGATCAGTTCCAAGAAGACACAGGTTGGGAGCTGACTGCCAAGCAATTTGGGGCTACCAGAAAAAAAATGTCAGACTTCCAAATTTTACAAAATACCACCTGGGGAATAAGTCATAAATGATTTTGCAGCTATGTTAATTCTTATTTTTAAAGTTCAATCCCAAAGTCAGAACACATGACAATTTATTCCAGTAGGAAAAAATTCAACTAATGTAGTTGCTTTCTTTTCTTCTTCTTCTTCTTCTTCTTCTTCTTCTTCTTCTTCTTCTTCTTCTTCTTCTTTTTACATTGGCTTCATACACTGATATTGGACTATGCACCTGAACTCCCCACCTGATGGCCATTGAGCTGGGAAAGAACAGCTTTTTTCCAGGGCAGCTGAGGGACTGCAGGGCCCTTGCGGTATCTACTGCCGCATAGGTGCATGATGGTGCCTACATGAAGCCCACCAGAGCCAAAGAGGTTTAGAAAATCAGGATGTACATTGGTCATTTTCTCTACACTTCTAAAGGCTTCATTTTCCCAAATGTGAAAATTAGCACTCTCTTGGAATCGTTTATCCTCTGTTTCCACCCTCTCTTAACGATTTTGTTCATATTATTAAGGAAAGTGTATTCATATAATATTCTTAAAATGACTTAAAGTTGTAAAATTTTCAGCATAATTAGTACATTGGCTACAGGGAGGATAAAAAAATTAAATCATCTCTGCTGCTTTCAAAGTCATGTTGCTGGTTATTATTATGATTTTTCTTATAAACACTGTGACATTTGCCATGCAAGAAATTGACTTCTGGGAGAAGTCAAATATTAAAACATATATATAGTGTTTTGGATTCTGATAGAGGAGCTGCTTCAGCTATCAATTATTGATATATTTTGATTCTTCCTCCAGAAGAGAAGGAAGATTCCACTGGGAGATTCTCTACTTAATGATTTTAAAGCTGAGATCTAAATCTCTTCCTGCCATTACTCTTTGGAATTTCTTGTTTAATTTCTTTGAGGGTTGTATTTTTAAAATTCATTTGTCTGCATTAAAGGAATTTGTTTTCACTATGAGCATCAAAAGAAAGATTCTTTGAACAGGTGCTCATCATTTCTCAGTTATAAAGAGGGTAAATCCCGGGTAGGAAAGGATGAGAATCTGCAGGTACCAAAGCAAAAACCACACACACACACACACACACACACACACACACACACACACACACCACAGGTTCATTTCATGCAACATTCTTGAATTAATAAGCAGGTTTCTAGAGCAGCCCCACTTGAGCAATGAGCAACAATAATAACAACAAAAAAAGTCTTTCCGATCATATTACAATCTCTCAAAGCAACCAGGGTTTACGGAAATAACCCTGCAGATTTTTTTCATGCTGAGCCCCAGGCAAATATGGGTTTGTTTTCTCTTACCTGTAGATCTGGCCAAGGGATTTTCCAGCAAAATTCTTTAGCCCCTCTTTTCCTGGGGTCAAAATCCTTTGTTTTACCGACTCCATTCTTGCAAAGACAGGTGTAGGCTCTTGCCAGATTTTAAAAGTGATCGCTATGAAAGGCGAGAGTTGCGCATATTGTCTTAATCGCTTAAGGTAGTTGTGGGCTTTTTCTTCTCAGCAGAACGGTATCGGTGTGCCTCCAGCAAGAGTGTGAGTGAGAGAGGGGAGGGAGTGAGAAAGAGAATACAACAGAATAGCTGCATGCAACCCACGGGTTTCCTAATAGGAGAGTTGGTAGACACAATCAGAAAGTCTCATTGGAAGGGGAGGATCCGGTGGCAAAGGGCGCACGCAGTGCCATGGTATTTGGGTGGGTGCAGATGAGTCCTTGTCCTGGAAGTCAGTCCATTGAAAAACAATGCAAATTCCCGATTTTGAAAACCTTATTGCTGTCAAATCTTCTGGCTTTTAAACGGAAGGGCGGAAATATCACAGATCCTTTGTGTAAAAGCAAAGTCAGAAGAATAGTATTATTTTTTTAATGGTGTCTTTGCTGTAGGGAGCAGAGCACTTCCAAAACTCATGGGAGCATCTGAGGTCTCAGGTGAGCAATGCTGATGTTAGTTTTTCCTCCTTGCCTATGATCTCCTCCTATCACGCCGGCGCAACTCTGCTCTGCGGTAGTGTCGAATTAAGATGGAGAAAGCTTGCTGCTCTTTGAGGACGTGAGTAAATAACAGATACACAGTTCTGATTTGGGCAGCGTCAGGGAAGATTTCTTCAGCGCAGCTGACAGCGCTCTTCAGGGCGCGTCTCGGCAGAATTGTTCAGCACCACGGACAGAGTAAGTTTCCGGAAAAGGGAAAGCTGCTTTTGGCTGGCCAGGTTGCCAACTTTCTGGGGGAGCTGGGTGGTTGCCCTGACCAAAGACCATTCTGGGGATCTTCAGGAACGGATGCTATGGAAACCAAGTGGAAATATGTCATCATCGCCAGAGTTTGCAGGGAGAATGGTGCATTTGACTCTTCAAGGGAGGAAGACTTTATTAAAAATTGACAAGTTACTTCTAGTTTCCTACGTTTTGCCCAGCACGCTACCGCCAGCTCTGACAATGTTGCAGGGAAGGAAGATTAAAACATACTTCATTTATATCTGTGGAATTCTGGGGCACTTGGGTACTGGGATATAAAGCATATGTACACAGAATGCATAATTATATTGTTCATGTGTTGTTTTAATTCTTGATAGGAAAGAAGGAAGGAAGGAAGGAAGGAAGGAAGGAAGGAAGGAAGGAAGGAAGGAAGGAAGGAAGGAAGGAAGGAAGGAAGGAGAGAACAGAAAGAAAAGAAAGAAAAAGAGAAAGAAAGTAGAAAGTAGAAAGGGAAGGAGGGAGGAAAGAAAAAGAGAAAGAAAAGATAGGCTGCAACCTTAGTGTCCTTGGTTAAATAAAATATGGGCAGTTTAGTATAAATTCCTTGGAATTTTATGATTCTTTGCTTAACTAATTTACAGCACACGATGAGAATATCAATATACTGACAAAATTTGTGGCCATATCTTGTGCTTGTCAACAAATTATCATCAATATTTTCATGATTTATTTGGAATTGCTTACATTCCTTTTAAAGGTGATTTTTTCCTTATGCCATCTTACCCTAAAGCAGGATTATGGAGAGGCATTCATGTAAGACTTTTGTTTTCATATGCTTAGGTGTAGCATCAATGAATCTGTTTCATTAAGCAAAGCAAGAAAGCTTTGCTAGCTTAGTATTAATTATTAATGCATTTAACATGAATTGCAAACCTCTTAGATGCAATTCAGCCAAGTGATTACAAAACTGACTGCCCTTGAGTCACATTGCCAAGGTCAAAATTTTTGGATTTTATTTAAGCCAACAGGGGGAGTAGATTTTTTTTTAGGGATTTTGGTTACAAATCTCAAAAGTATGGATCTAAATACAGAAACATGTAAGAATGTCCCCTGAAGGCCAAGTAATATTATGGATGTGTATACACTGAATGGATAGCCAAAAAAAAAAAAAATTATCAAAAGTAGCTAAAACCATCTTCATTATTAAATTTAATAGTAGTCATATTATATTTCATTATGAATTATAATGAAGAAAAGAATACTAGAGGCATCTTTCTCTCATTTTGATAAACATGTATTAAAATATATATCCCTATAAAACAGTGGATCAGATTTTTCTTAAACTCCAGAATGCTTCAAAATAGTATCTATCCCCAAAGATGATCAAGTATAAGAAGAGGGAAAACCCCCCCCACCAATCTACCTCCTTCCAAATAAAAGATTCAAGTAAATTAGGACTTTACTCATCTAGGGTACTTTTCAAAATATTTATGTTTTTTAAATCTTTAGTGACCAAGTTCAATAGACCAAATTCATTTAAGGATATCCACGATTCTGAAATTCTGGGAGGTGATGTGAAAAATATAAGTTAAATAAATATCTGTGATGCTAGGAAGGTGATATAAAACTGGTTCTCCTCAGCACTCCTGCTTGAATTTCACCTCAGATAACTAGAGACCTAAACTACCAATAAACCTAGTTGTTAACTCTGCACTATAGATTATCTGTGGTGGCACCAAGCAATATAAATCCAACAGGAAAACATTGTTTCCAGAGTAAAATAATTACATTCGCCTTTATTGAAATGAATGTCATCTGGCTCCTCCATTCTCTTGATAACAGGGCAAGTACTTGAATCAGAATTGTTGCTAATATCGATTTATTCATTCTAAAAATAATCACTTAGTGCCCAGAATTGCACTAGATTCTGAGAATATTCCCAGAAAGATCTCACAGGCTATGTGAAATAGATACATAAATACAATTACAAATAATTATGGATGAAATTGGACAAAAAAATAACCCAGCCTGGGAGTGAAACTACATAGAAAAGAACATAGGAAATGATGTTTCCTTGTCTGTCTTTATACTTTAAGGGAAACTTAGCTCTGTGAAGGTGATGGCAGCCCAGTGGAATTGGGTGAGGAGGGGTGAAGAGGGGTGGTGATACTTGGAAAGCATCCCATCCAGAGGGGACATCTTGAGCAAAGTCATAAACAAGGGGAAAATATTGTGTGTGGAAAATTACAAGAATTGTTACTAGGCCACCTGAGACCAAAGAATGCCATTTAGGCTTTTCTTAAATTAATAGCTCCCAATAGCAGAAACAAATATTCAGGCACTATTTACATATCCAATAGGTTTTCTTCCTGTGTGATCCTTAAATTCAAACACTGAACATACACTTTTGTGACCTTAAGATCACCAGATTTATCTTTATGCAAAACTATTAGTAGTTACATATATGGTTTTAATTTAGTGATATGGTAAAGACTTCCTTTTTGTGGACACCTTCCTTACCTCCTTACTCCCTTACCTCCCTTACCTCTCCCATCCTCTTCCAGCTAATTTTAACAGCGCTTTAAATGGAATTTTTAGACAAGTATTGTCCCCTCTACCCAAGCACTCCTAAAACTAAAAGATTTTGGGGTGCCTGGGTGGCTCAGTCGGTTAAGCAATGGACTCTTGGTTTTTGGCTCAGGTCATGATTTCATGGTTCCTGAGTTCAAGCCCTACATTGGGCTCTGTGATGACAGTGCAGAGCTTTCATGGGATTCTCTCTCTCTCTTTCCTTCTCTCTGACTCTGCCTCCCCACCTCCAAATAAATAAACTATTTAAAAATTATTTAAAAAATAAAAGATTTTATTGAATTTATTTAAAGTGTGTAGCATATTACAAATTATCAATGACTTTGATTTACATGATCTTACTTATTCCTTATATTCTTCAGGGTAAACTAATTTTATTCCATTTTATTGAGGAGAAAAATTTGATTTTATGAATTGCCTGAAGGCATGCAAACAATGATGAAGAAGGAGCATGAGTTAGTGTAGTTTCTTGCAATTTAAGAAAAGACAGATTCTGGGGACACCTGGGTGGCTCAGTCAGGTGAGAGTCTGGCTTTGGCCCAGGTCATGATCTTGCCATTCCTGAGTTTGGGCCCCATGTCGGGCTCTGTGCTGACCGCTCAGAGCCTGGAGCCTGCTTTGGATTCTCTTTCTCTCTCTCTTTGCCCCTCCCCTGCTCTTGCTCTGTCTCTCTCTCTCTCTCTCTCTCTCTCTTTCTCTTAAAAATAAATAAACATTAAAAAAAACACACACACAGTTTTGATTTAATAGGTCTAAAGTTGAGCTCAAGATTCAGCAGTTTTAGCAAGTTCAGGACCACTTGCTCATAGATCACACTTTGACTAATGACAGTGTAGAATATGAAAGGGAAAATCAGCTGACCTGGGTTTGGGTCTTGAGTCCACAGATTATCATCTGTATAACATTTTTTAATGTTCATTTATTTTTGAGAGAGAGAGAGAGAGAGAGCAGGGGAAGGGTAGAGGGAGAGGGAGACACAGAATCTGAAGCAGGCTTTAGGCTCTGAGCTAGCTGTCAGCACAGAGCCCTACACGGGGCTCAAACCTACAAACTGTGAGATCATGACTTGAGCTGAAGTCGGACGCTTAACCAACTGAGCCACCCAGGTGACCCTCATCCTTGTAACTTTTAATTAATCATGTAACTTAATAAATTTCAGTTCCTTGTGTGTACAAATGAAGGCTTATAGTAAGTGGTTTCTATTACATCTTCTACGCATAAAATTATATGAATTTTTCATTAATCTATTCATTGATGTAAAGCCACATTTCCCTTGTTTCTTCCACTATAAGATTGTTTTATTGTATTTGAGCTAAATGGTTAATAATGAAAACAGAAAAATGCCAATACTATGGAAAACCATGCTTCTTTCTGAAAGTTGTATCTTCTTACATATTTAAAGAATAAATTTATCGCTTGTTTTACTATAATTGGTTATTGAGTTTTATATGCAATTATTTGAATAATTGTCTTTATGGTATTCTTTGAAATTTATAGAAGATACTACCCAATAACAATGTGATAGGTTTGTGTTTGTTTATATCCTTATGAGGGAATACTTTTGAGAGATCCTTTAAATGACTTGTAAATGTTGCCCTCTGGT